ACCCCATCTTGGAGGATCTCATTTTCGAGGTCTAGACTCGGAAAGAGGAGTTTGTGGCACACCTCTGACTGAAAGGGGGGGCCCTAGCTTCAAGCTACCCCCCCGTGGAAAAGGAGGGGGCGGCTTCCGAAGCTATACCCCCCCTCGCCCCTTTTTGCTGGCATTTTAGTTGGGAGAGCCCTAGCTAAGGGTGGAAGAGACATGAAAGCTACCTCCACCCCCCCTTTTCGGGGCCCCAGGTCAGCCCGGGTTCCCCTTTCAAAGGGGGGGGCTTCCAAAGCTACCCCCCACTTCTTTTGTTTGGATTTCGTAGCTGGGGGGTCCCTGGCTAAAGGAGGGGGCCAAAGCTACCCCCCCTCCGTTTCGGGGCTCGGGGTAAGCCCGGGCTCTCCTTTCCTAAGAAGGGGGGGGCTTCCGACCCCCTCCCCTCCTTTGGTGTTCGGCGTCTATCGATTTCTGAGCCTCTTTGCTTTTCGGTGTCCCTTGGGCCGTTGGCGCCCCTTTGGTTTTCGGCGCTCCTTTGATGTTCAGCGCTCCTTCGGTTTTCTGCGTTCCTTGGGTTTTCGGCGCTCCTTCGGTTTTCGACACCCGTTGGTTTTCTGCGCACCCTGTGGTTTTTGGCGCAGCGTTGGTTTTCGGCGCCCTCTTGGGCGATGGCGCCTCTTCGGTTTTCGGCGCCCTCTTAGTTTCCGGCGCCCTTTTGATTGAGCGGTGCCCCTTTAGTTTTCGGCGCCCTTTTGGTTCTCGGCGCTCTTTGGTTTTCGACGCCCCTTGTATTTGGGGCACCCTTCGGCTTTCGGCGCGCTCCTCTTGCTGCTCGGCACCCCTTGGGTGCCCCTTTTGGTTTTCGGCGCCTTCTCGGCTTTCGGCGCCCCTTCGATGTTCGGTGTCTTTTTGGTTTTCGGCGCCTTTTTGGTTTCCGGCGCACCTTCGGTTTTCGGCGCCACTTGTTGTGTTCGGCGCTTTGTCGGTGCTCGTCCTCTTATTGGTTTGCTGCGCACTCTTGTTTTTCGGCGCCCCTTTGGTTTTCGGCGCCCTTCTGGTTTTATGCGCCGCTTTGGTGCTCGGCGCCCTTGTGGTGTTCGGCGCCCCTTTGGTCTTCGGCGTTCCTTTGGTTATCGGCGCAGTTTTGGTTTCCGGTGCCCTTGCGATATTTGGCGACCCTCTGGTTGTCGGCGCACTATTAATTGTTTTCAGCTCCCGTTTGGTCTCCCGGCGTCCTGTTCAAGTTCGGCAACCCTTTGGCTTTTGCCGCCCGTTTGGGCTTCGGTGCTCCTTTTCAGTTTTCGGCGCCCCTTTGGTTTTCGGCGCTGCTCTGGTTATCGGCGCCCTTGTGGTTTTCGGCGCCTTCTTGGTTTTCGGCGCCCCGATGGCTTTCGGCGCCCCGCAGGTTTTTGGGGCCTTTTTTGGTTGTCGGCGCTCTTCAGGTTTTCGCGGTCTTGTGGTTTTCGGCGCCCTCTTGGGTTCCGGCGCCCCTTTGGTTTTCGGCGCCCTCTTGGTTTTCGGTTCCCTTCTGGTTGTCGGCGCCCTTTGGATTTTCGGCGCCCTTTTGGTTTTCGGTGCACTATCGTTGGTGGTTGGCGCTCCTTTGGTTTTCGGCGCCCTTTTTGTTTTCGGCGCTCTTTGGTTTTCGACGCCCTTTCGGTTTTCGGCGTTCCTCCTGTTGGGGGCGATCTAAGATGTTCGCACGCATTCGGTGTTCGGTGGCTCTGTGGTTTTCGGCACTCTGTCGGTTTTCGGCGCCCTTTCGGCTTTCGGCGTTCCTTCCTTTAGCCAAAGAGGGGGTTCCGAGCCACCCTGTAGCCCAAAAGTGGGGGGGGGGCTTCCGGCAGAGAGCGGTTAAAAAGAGGGGGGGTAGCTGAGCCCTTCCGTTTGGACAGGGAGTTGGGGGGGAGTTTCCGGAGCGTGAAAGGGAGCCAAAGAGAACGCCCCCCTCTCGTAGGACTATACCACGGGCGCGCTCTCTCAAACGTGACTCCCGGATCGGGGGTTCGCTAACGGGGCAACGAACGCGGGGTGAAGGAGCGTGCGCTCTTCGTGCACGCTCCCCCGAAGTTTGTTGCCCCCTCCCTCCCTGGTTCCTGCAGCCTTCCATTCGCCCGCGTTCGCCTCGCCCCTTCCCCGCGGGGCTGGCGTTTCGCCCCGGGCCGCTCCCTGGCGGCCCCGGGGCCTTGCCAGGGCCCCCGGGAGCCAAGCCATGGTCCGAAACCGCCCGCCGTGATTTTTCGGCGACGAGGTTGGGGCCCACGCGGGAGCGGGGAGGTAGGTCTATCTGCTTATCCTTTCGTGCCGTACACTACCTGCGCCCTCGGCCCCCCCCCTTTGCTGGGACCGGCGGCTGCAAGGCAGGCGCGGGGGGACGTGAGAGGCCTTTGGGGCTCCAGGGGCCGCGCCTCCGCCGGCGGTTCGCGGGGCACGCGGGCGCCGCGTGCTGTGCGCGCGGCCCCCGCGTGCCACGAGCGGCGAGCATCAGAGGAAACACGGTCCTCCTCTGACGCTCGCGGCCTGGGAGATCTCGGGGGCATTTCCCCGATCTCGCAAACGCTACCGATGCCGCAGCTCGTCCTCCAGGGTCCTCGTCGCCACGGCTGGATTCTCTCCCAGACGTTCTGGGAGGGCGCGCCGCTGGATAACCCCAAACAGGGGGGGTCGGGAACCCCTCCCCTCCCCCATACCCCCTTTCCCAGGTCCGTCGTCGGGGACCCCCTCCGCTTTTTCAAAAGAAGGGGGGAGGGTTCCGACCCTCCCCCCTGGGTTCGAATTTCCAACCCGCCCCCTCCCCCCTTTCGCCACGCCGCCGCCTGACTCCAGAACCCGCCGCCCCCCTGCCACCCTCAACCATCATCGTCACCCGAACCTGAAACACTGAACCCTACCCCCAACCCTAGCCCCAAACAGTATTCCATACGCACTACTCACTACCCAATAACCACTAGTCACTACTCACTGCGTCCTACCCACTACTCCTTAATCACTACTCACTACTCACTACTCTATACCCACTGCTCACTACTCACTACGCACTATTCGCTGCAGGCGACTTACTACTCACTACTCACTAAAAACTCTCCACGACTCACTACTCACTATTCCCTACTCTCTGTTCACTACTCACTACTCATTCCTCGATATCCATTACTCACTACTCTCTACTCGCTACAGCCTGCACAGTACTCGCTACGCACTACTCACTACGCACTCTTCGCTACTATCTATTCGGTCTTCGCTACTCCACATTCACTGCTCACCACCCACTAATAACTACTCACTACTCACTACCCCTACGTCCTACTCCCTACTCGCTACACGCTACTCACACTCACTACCCACTGCTCAGTATTCACCACTCACGAGTCACTACTCAATATTTACTACCCACTACTCGCTACTCCCTATTCGCTATTCGCTACCGAATACTTCCTACGCACCATTTTCTACTCACTACTCACTAATCACTGATCACTACACACTACTCACTACTCGCCACCGACTGGTCACTACTCACTACTCACTATTCACCACCCACCATTCACGACTCACTACGCACCACTCACTACTCACTACTCCCTACCCACTACTCCCTACCCACTACTCGCCACCCACTTCTCACATCTCATTACACACTACTCACTACTCCCTATACACTATTCACCACTAACGACTCACTGATCCCAACTCGCTACTCCCTACTCGCTACTCATTTCTCACTCCTCACGACTGTCTACTCCCTACTCAGTACTCACTACCCACTACTCGCTTGTCACTATTCGTTATTCCCTACTTCCTATTCGCTACTCACTCCTCACTACCCACTACGCACAAACCACTCCTCACTACTCAATACTCACTGTGTTCACTACTCGGTTACTCACTACACACTACTCACTATTCACTACGCGTTACTCACTACGCACTACCCACTACCCAGTCCTCGCTACTCACTATTCACCACCGACTATCCGCCACCCAATACCCATTTCTCATTACTCCGTACTCCCTACTCTCGTTTCTCATTACGCACTACTGATTATTCACCATTCGCTACCAATACTCACTAGTCACTACGCACGACTCAATACCCACCAGTCAATACTCCCTACTCACAACTACTCACTACTCACTACTCACTACTCACGACTCACAATTCGCTATTCTCTACTCACTACTCATTACTCACTATTCACTACTCACCACTCCCTACTCCCAACTCCCTCCCAACTCCCGACTGAAGACTCCCTATCCACATTCTCGGGCGCAGACAGGAGCAGCGGGAGAGGCCCCCTCGCCGGCTTTTTTGTCCAGCGCAAACGGGGGGAGGGGGGGGAGGTCCGACCCCCTCCCCTCTCCAACGCCAAAAAGAGGGGGGGGTCCGCACCCCCCCCCTCCTTCAAGGAAGGGGGAGGGGGGGGGTCGGACAACCTCACCCCCCCTTGAAGGGGGGGAGAGGGGGGGTCGAAACTCTCACCCCCCCTTTGAAGGGGGGGAGGGGGGGGGTTCATGCGAGTCCCCCCCCCCCTTCTAATTATAGGGTGATCCAGTGGCGCGCTTTCAAATTGTGGTCAAGACGCACCCCGGGAGAGGTCTGGAGAGCGGCGGTATCGGTAACGTTTTGCTCCCCCAGGGCATATCCGTATCCCCGCCCTCGCGGTCTGGATCCCGAGACGCGGCCCCGCGGATACGCGGTCGCACGGACACGTTCCGCGCGGGGCATCCGCGAGAAGGCGCCCCGTGCCCGCGGGGTCGCGGCCCCGGGGCCAGGCTCACGAGTCCGCGGATACGGATCAAGGGGGCGTAAGACCCGGGTACAGGGGACTCGGAAATCCCCGACGAGGTCGCCAAAAAAATGACGAGGCCGAGCCTGCATTTTGACGAGGCCTCCCGCTGCAGACATCCCACGAAACTCCTGCTCGTCAAAATCCGAGTCGCGGTCGTCAAAAAACGATGTCGAACCCGAGTCCTGGCAAACCCGGGTCTTACGCTCCCCCGAACGGAGATTGTTCCTCGTCCGCGAGCTCCGCCGTGAGCGAACTGGTCTTCACCAGCCCCCTGACGGCCTGGCGCACCTGCCGGCGCAACTCTCCTCGGCCTGCGACGCCGCCCGAACGGTAGGGGAGACTGGAAGGTACCAACACCGCTACGTTCTGGACCTCTCCTGGGGTGCTCTCTGACCGGAGAGTCGAAGCGAATCCCGCGGCGGCGGCGAAAGCCTCTCGGGAGACCACGCCTGGAGGCAACGAGGGAAGGGCAGCGCTATCGGTACCCATTCCTCCTCTGAAAATGCTCTCCCCAGTCGCGCCTCAACAATGCCGGGGGTCCTCCACCACCTCGCTCGACGAGTGGGCGGCCGTCTTGACATGCCGATGGCGCACGTCTTCGGGGCCTCGCCTCGAACCCAAATGTTGCCCACGCCCGTGTGCCGTTTCGAAGTCCGCCGAGTTACGAGCGCACGTCTTTATTTTCGGCGACGACGGGCGTCATGAGAGGGGGGGCGGAGGGGTATGACATAACGCCCCCCCCCCCCCCCTGCGTGTGGCTCCGGCACCACACCCGCGCCCGCGCGCACGACGACGACGGGCGACGAGCGACGAACGACGAGCGACGAGCGAGGACGACGACGACAACGACGCGAGCTGCATGTAGGCGGCGATCTGCCCCACAACGCTTGTGTACACCACAATGCTCGCGTGCACCACAACGCGTGTGTACACCACAGCGCCTGCGTACACCGCAACAGCAGTGTGCAACGCAGCGCTTGTGTACACCACAGTGCCTAGGTGCACCACAGAACTGGTGTACACCACAGAGGCTCTGTACAGCGCATCAGCCATGTGCAACACAGCGCCTGTGCACTGCAGCGCCTGAGCACAGCACAGCGCCTGTCTACACCACAACATCCGCGTGCAACGCAACGCTGGTGTACACCACGGTACCTGCGCGCAAAGGACAGGTAGAAGAAGCATGTCGGCGAGGATCTGCTGCGGACAGCTAAACGCCACGCCAGGGAATGCGACTTTATTCCCTCCTCCCTCCCCTTCCGCCTCTTCCTCCTCCGCCTCCTCCTCCTCCTCCTCCCTCACCCTTCCCCCCTGTCGTGCGGGTCGGCGCTACTCGGGAAGACTCGGGCGGGCTCGGGAGGACTCGTAGATTACAGCGGCGCTTCTATTTCCAGAAGGATTCCTTCCCAAATCCTATATCAAACGAGTTTTGGGGGAATCCACAGGCGTTCCATTTTGTGATAAGGATTCCTTCTCAAGTTCTATATGCAACATTGGTGCTCTGTTGCACACGGCTGCTGTGGTGCACACAGGCGCAGTGATGTACACAGGCGCTGTCGTGCACGCAGGCATTGTGGTGTACACTGGTGCTGTGTTGCACACGGCGGATGTGGTGTACGCAGGCGCTGTGATGTACACAAGCGCTGTGGTGCCTGCAGGCACTGTGGCATACACTGGCGCTGTGTTGCACGCGGCTGCTATGTTGTGCATAGGCGGTGTGGTGTACACAGGCGCTGTGGTGCACGCAGGCACTGTGGTGTACACAGGCGCTGTGGTGCAGATCGCCACCTACATGCTGCTGCTACCCGTCCTCGGTCATTCCTAAGCATTCCCAGACGCCCCCGGCGCGAAACGTGACGTCATCGGCCCCCTCGACCCGCACACCAAAAATTATTGCCGTCTTCGGCCCGGAATAAAAAAACACGCTACAGCCGCGTCCGCGCGCACAACAACGATGAGCGACGAGCGACGAGTGACGACGACGACGACGACGAATGCGGACTAGACTCCTATGCGAGTTCATATGCGGAGAACTATGCGGATCCCAAAGCGCACGGCGGCAGTGCCTGGAGCGCACTGGGGGGGGGAGCGTTACGTCATGGGGCGGGGGTGGCGGAGGCCATGACGCCTGTCATGCCCCAAGCAATAAAGAACCACGTTCTACGCTCTGGCGAGTTCCTCGCGCCAGAGCCAGAGCCGAGACTTAGATGCTAAGTCTGGCGACCTTTCTGGAGCCACTAGTTCCATTCAGGCGTCGATGCTGCGTGGAACGTCCATCGACTTAAGCGGAACTAGAACCGAACTATATTAGAACTAGAGTCGAGCAGATCCGTTAGATGGTCCCCAGAAGGGCCCAAAAAAACGAACACCCGACGAAGTAGCTGCGAGGGTGAAGGGGAGGGGAAGCGGCAGGAGCGCACGGAGGATGACGAGGAGGGAAGGAGGAGGAGGAGGCGGAGTGGGAGAGAAGGGTACGCTCGGCGGTGGTGGGCGGCTCGGCTCCTCGATCAGCCGCTCGCAGACTCTCACCTCGTCGCTGGGGCCGAAGATCCGCACCTTCGAACGGGCGGGCCGGGCTCTCCGCCCCTGCTCCGTGGGCGCACGCTCGCACACCTGCTCGCGCACCTGCTCCTCGTGCTCCTCCTCCTCCTCCTCCTCCTCCTCCTCCGCCGCCTCCGCCTCCTCCTCCTCCTCCTCCTCCTCTCCTCTCCTCCCTCCTCCTCCTCCTCCTCCTCCTCCTCCTCTCCTCCTCCTCCTCCTCCTCCTCCTCCTCCTCCTCCTCCTCCTCCTCCTCCTCCTCCTCCTCCTCCTCCTCCTCCTCCTCCTCCTCCTCCTCCTCCCTCCTCCTCCTCCTCCTCCTCCCTCCCTCCTCTCCTCCCCTCCTCCTCCTCCTCCTCCTCCCTCCTCCTCCTCCTCCCTCCTCGCCCGCCCCGCCTCCTCCTCCTCTTCCTCCTCCTCCTCCTCCTCCTCCTCCTCCTCCTCCTCCTACTCCGCTTCCTCCTCCTCCTTATCATCCTCCTCCTCATCCTCTTCTCTCTCTCTCTCTCTGTCTCTTTTTCTGTTCTCTCTCTCTCTCTCTCCTTCTTTCTTTCTCGCTCTCTCTCTCTCTCTCTCTCGCTCGCTCTCTCTCCTCCATCTACTTCTCTTCTCCTTCTCTCTCCTCCCCCCCTGCCCTCCTCCAGAACCACGGCGCCCGGGGATCGACCTTCGGGGACCTCGGCAGGCGGCGAGCCTGGACATGCACTGGCCCACGCGCAGAGCGGGAGAACACGCTGGGCTTCGTCGCAAGCAGGGGGGTACCCCCCCCAGGAAGCATATCCTGGGCTTCTTCGGAAGTATATCCTGGGCTGAATCTGAAGCTGAGTCTGGCTCATCCGATCGAGCTCAACAGCTCTTTTTGGACTCTGGGTTTCTTAACGAGCGTGGGGGGGTACCCCCGCCCCCAGACGGGGGTCAGCCTCGCCTCGTCGTCGCGCCGCGACGGGGGTCGGAGCGCCGTCGGCGCGCGGTGGCTGCCCGCGACGGGGGTCGACGTGGGGTTGTCGGCGGGGGTGACGCACCCCCCGACGCGGATTGAGAAACTCAGAGTATCCAAATCGATCGCCTGCCGAAGTATCCAATGATTCTCAGGGCGGCATATATATGTGTGTATGTGTATATATATATGTGTGTATATGTGTGTGTCTATACATACATACATACATACATACAGACAGACAGACAGACAGACAGACAGACAGACATACATGCAGACATACATACATACATACAGTCATAATACATGCATACATACGTACGTACGTACATACCTACGTGCATACATACATGTATGTATGCATACATGCATACATGCATGCATACATGCATACATACACATACGTACATACGTACGTATGTACATACATACATACACACGTGCATACATACATGCATGCATACATACATACATGCATGCATGCATACATACATACATACACACATATATACCTACATAAATACATGCATGCATACATACATACCCACATATCTACATACCTACATGCATGCTTGCATGCATGCATGCATACATACACACACCTAGTCATACATGCATGGATGCATGCATACATACATATATGCATACGTACACACATACAGACGTACAAACATGCATGCATACATACATACGTGCAGACGCATATACCTACCTGCCTACATACATACATGCCTACATACATACATACACACACATACATACATACATACATACATACACACAGACACACACATACATACATACATACATACATAAATACATACGTACATACATACATACACGCATACATTACAATAGTTTACAGTATGGTGTATTACATTGCATTACACTACATTACAAGACACTACATACAGTACATTACACTACACTGCATTAATCTACACTACATTACATTGCACTACAGTACATTACTGTACATTACAGTACATCCATACATCTTTGCATACAAATACATATGTACATATACATATATATATATATATATATATCGGCATAGACATACATATATATATATATATATATGTATACATTGCTACATATATGTATACACAAGTCCCCGCCTCGGACGGCAGCAGTTCGGAGCGATAGCCTGGGATGGCCACGAAAACTCAAGACGTTCTCGCGCGAGAGCCCGATATGTTCGACGGGAATCCACCATCCGTTCGCGCAGCAATGAAACGTGCGCAAGCACATTGTAATTCAATGTTGAGGAAGCCTCAAACGAGAGAGGCCACATTCAAAGAAGGAGCCGACCTCACTGCAACGGTTGCAAAAAGTGTAAGACACATGTGCCCAGCGCCATGGCGAGAGCCCCATGTGGACAACGAACCGCCATCCATCCTTGACGTCGCCCGAAGCCTGCAGGACGGAGCCGCGTGGCGCTGGGGCAAGAAGGCTGGAAATGAAGACGTGCCTCTGTCCGTCCTCCTGCTGGTTGCAAGCATGTGAGACGAACGCTCGCGGTGCTGAAGCGAGAGCGCGTGATTTTGAAACAGTGCCGCCGTCCGTCCTTGCACATGTTGCAAAGCTTTTCGCAAGAGTGCGCGGGGTTTTAGGGCGAGAGCCCCAGCTTGAAAAAACGAACCATCCTTGACCCTTCTCAACCTGTAGCTGCTGGAACTCCCAGGCTGCAGGATCACAGCCGGCGAGAACGTCTCGAACGACCCGCATGCCTCCCACCCCCCTACCGACATGTCTCGCGGTGCGGCAGGTAAGGGTTATCTGCAACACAAAGTGGTGGATGAGGGGGGGGATGAGGAGGACGAGGAGGAGGAGAACGAGGAGGAGAAGGAGGAGATGGAGGAGGGGGGAGGGGAAGGAGGAGGAGGAGGACGAGGAGTAGGAGGAGGAGGAGGCGGGGGAGGAGGAGGAGGGAGAGGGGGAGGGCACCGTTCGCCTTTGCTTCCTGGCGCTTCCCCCCTACTCCTCCTCCCCTCTTCTCTCCTCATGTTCCCCTGGTGATCCCCCTCGTGTCGTCTCAGCTCCTGATCGGCCGACATACTCCCCCCACACACGTATACTCCTCTCCGGTGCCGAACCAATCTCTGCTATGGATCCCATCAGCGCGTTACTGTTGAGGGAGCACTGCGTTTGACCACACGCAGTATGAGAGACGACGCTCGTGCCACTGATACTCGTCACCCCTCGCAAACAAACCTGTCCGCAGATCGCAGAGGGAAGGGAAACACGAGCTCCGACGTCGTGCCCCCCCAACGATCTAGACCCCTTGCCCCAGAACTGGCTTTTCGTCCCGACAGAGGTCCGAGGGCCCCAAAAACCGTTCGCCACCCTTGCCACTCTGCCACGACGAAAGAAACGCGGGGGAAGAGGATAGCCACGCCCAGAATGGGTGAGGAAAAACGGCACGATGCCCAACAGCACATTCGGCGGTGGACAAACCTCCCTTTAGCACACCTCCCCTTAATGAAAACGGCCTGGGACCGAAACCGACGGACCTGGAACCGCAAAAATGACAGCCGCGACGCCCTCTCGCGAACCGAAATCGGCCAATTCCTTAATCGACGTGTCAGGGTAGGAGGTCTGTCCATCCCCGACACATGTTGTCCATGACCGACACGCGGCATCTGTTGGGAAGGCGGCCTGCCATCTCAACTCTCAAAGGGACAGCGTCCGCGGCCACGCACCGACAGCGAGCCCCGGTCAACATGGGCACGAACTGCTGACATCCGCTGCTGGATGTTGTTCAACAGGACTGGACCTAAGCGTGCTTTTTCATGTTGCGTTCGTCTTGTTTGCTTGTCGGCTTGCTCTGCATCTTTCCCTGTGCCTCCCCGCCAAAACGAAATACAAGCCCAGCCGACGTCCAGACAAACAGCGTTTGAGCCCGGCCCTGCTGTTCAATCCGCGGCCCCAGCGTTCGTCCCGTACCCCCGCTTGACGGCCCTGGGGTCCACAGCAGCTCCCGAGGGCCGAGGTCGAATGAAAAAAACAAGCCCGGGTGGAGAACACATCGCCGGAGACCTGGGACAGCGGTCTCGGGAAGCTCGGAGTGTGTCCAAACAGGGGTGTGTTGAAAAACGAGGGTGGGGCAACGCGGCACAACCTCTTGCTGTGTTTTGTTCCCGGCCGCTTTGAAACACAACCTCGACCGACCCCCGTCATTTCACGACACGTGTTCTAAACATCGGCGATCATAGGCGCCCTCCCGTTTTCTTGCACACAAGCCAGACAAACGTCTCAGCAATAACAAATAGTCAAATGCAGTGCATTTCCATCCCGTTCTTGCCACAAGCCATTTCTCCCACCAGCCCTTTGGGCTAAAGTGGTCTACCGAGATCTCTCTTTCCACCCACCCAAGGAACATCGCTGATTAGTGACTTCTCGCCTTTTCGCTTCCGATGCGCTTCTGAAGCCTGAAGATGGCCCCAAGATAACCCAAGAGAGGCCCACTAGGGGCCCAAGAGGCCCCCCAGACGGCCCTAAGAGTTCGCAAGAGTTCCCCAAGAGGGCCCCAAGAGCGCCCTAAGGCACGATTTTGATAGCCCCAGGGGGGGGGGGGGGGGGGGCAGAAATCAAAGAACCCCCCCGCTTGATCGATGGCCTCCAGGATGGCCCCCAAGACGCCCGCCAGGGCTCCCAAAGACCCCCGAAAGGGCTCCAACAGGACCCTAAGAGGGTCATAAGATACCCCGAAAGAGCCCCCAGGGGACCCCAAGATTCCCCAAAAGAGTCCCAAGAAGGCTCGAAGAGGCGATTTTGAGGGCACTGTCCTCGTCCTCGTTGTCCTTCTCCTCCTCCTCGTCTCGTCCTCGTCCTTGCCCTTTATCGTCTTCCTTTTCCTGTTCCTCCTCTTCCTCGTCGTCGCGGTCGTCGTCGAGCTGTCGTCGTCTTCGTCGTCGTCGTCCTCCTCCTCCTCCTCGAAACGCCGCACTCCCGGGGCCGAAAATTGCCAAGCGGCGGGTTGTCGAGTAGGGCATCGACTGCAGAATCGATGTACGATTGCCCGTCGAATCCACGGAATGATACCGGAGAAAACCCTATCAAAGTCTTCTTAGAGCTA